ACGTGACAGCTGACTGTTGTTACAGAGGTAATTAGAATTTCATATAATTCATCGCATTTATAAATTTGAATAAGGCGAGGACGAAAATATACCAGGGTAGTGTAAGCTCTCTTCATAGCTGGCTACAATCTCCTGTAAACAATTTACAAGTGTGAATTGCATTAAAGGTTTGAACATCCTTTTGTCACGATGGTAATAATTGGTAGGAACTAAGAGAAAGACGAGTCGGCAGTAATGTAAGTTGTGAAATAATTAAGAGTGAAAAGGATTGACTATTTATAGAAAAATTAGATGACCATGATTGAAAACAAAAGGACAGAATTCAACAGATTTTTGTGTCTGGATAGAAACAAAGTGTAACTGGAAAGAGTATAAGAGAATTACTTTGAACACCTTCAGCTTATCCGTAACATGGGCAGTGTCCAATAGTTGGCGCAAAATCGCACTGTTTAATGCCTGTGAGCGCTGTATGCTTAGGTTCTGTGGTATGTGTTCAGAAATTCGGACAACGATCCTTCTCTCTGTTCCTCCAATGTATGTACTTTGACATTTAATTGTAAATTGGTAGACACAGTTGGAGGTAATATGGTGTTGGTGTTTATCCACTTTTGACTGTCTTAAACAACTGGTTGTTTGATAAACACATACAAGCGTGACAACTGGATATGTTCTTATCAGCGGCAGTGTTCAGTCCTCATCTTATTCTACTAACAGTATCATTACTTTTGAGAGCAAGCTGTAGACAGATGAACTTTTTCTATACTATGCTGCAATCCACTTTGTCAACACTACGTTTTCCATATTGATCTATGAAATTCTGTGAATTGGTAGCCATTATCATCCAGACATTTTTATTTTGGTTTGTTTTCGAGAACATATTTTCTGTGGTTACGTAACCTATTTTTATTTCTTTACATTCCCAGTGGAACATAGGGTTTCAAGATAGAGGCTTGAATTTTCTGTAACAGTGGTGGTGATTTTCACAGGATTTGGTTACTAGCCTCATATCCAACCTCCCCTCTTTACTAGTCTTATTACTGGCTTAGCGAGGTAAGGCAGTGGCTCCGTGGCCGGGAATCGAACCCCGGACTACATGAGGTGTGGTTGGTGAGCACTCTACTGCTGTGCGACTGACGCATGGTTACATAACCTTACTATCTGTTATAATCTTTCTAGTTAAACTTTGTGTCTATCCACACAAAGGCAATCTGTTGAACTCTGTTCTTTTGTTTCCAAGCACTTTGTTAATTGTAATAGGCTATGACTATAAAGTTACATTAGTTAACAATATTAACGACAATGTAATAATACGTTATTACTATCATGCCTTGCACTTTTCACGTCACATAAAATGTGTGCCTGGTAAATAAGGTATTGCAGAGTTATTAAGCTCAGTTATCTGGGCATAAAGTCTTCTATAGTGGCTCCTAGTCCCATCTACCTGATAAGATGCATTAAGAAAAGGTTTTTGTGTAGGGAGAATGCTTGGTCGTCCACCTCGTCCTACTTTATGCCTGTGCAACCTGGCTATTGAGAGTGGAAGACATGAAAAGGCTAGCTGTCTTTGATCATAGGTGCCTGCGTTCTATCTCCCGTGTGAAATGGTATAATAGTGTTAGCAATATTGAGATTAGGCGTCGGTCGAGTGCTAGTTGGTAAGGAGGGAAAATCAATAGACGAGGCTGTGAAGTTACATAAGTCGCGATTAAAAAAACATGTGTTACGCATGCTTAGTAATCGATTGCCTTCCTTGATAGAGAACGTTATTTGGCTTAGTGTTGGGTTGGCAAAGAGCTATGGGTGGTGGTCAAACCAAAAATTTGTATCAGTTAATGAAATCTACAACAGTTTAAGCCATCCACGTAGGAAGGCGTAGACTTCCTGTTTATTGTTCTCGGGATGGTAAGAATCATTGACGGCTGGAGACAATCAGTGATATGGCTAAAAATCGTTCTCAATGGCAAGCACAGATGCATCCACTCCTTGTGACTTATAGTACCCAATGGAACTATAGTTTTCTTCGATATTACTATTCGTTTTGCCTCATATCGCTGTTTACTGTCTCTATTTTGCGTTTATTTTTACTTTCTTCTTTTTCTCTGGCTTTTTGTGCTACATGAAAGGGAATGTGGAGAATTAAACTGGTGCACATCAGTGCGAAGTCCTATGTTCTGCTTAACGTCTACTGAGTATCCATAGTACTATTAACAAGTTGGTTTAACAACATCCTACTCGCCCTAATGTAGGCTTTTAGCGCCTTTCTCATTTTATCAGAGTTTGAATAGCTCATTGGTAATGTCTCTGACTGCAACACTTGGTGACACGGATTCGAATCTCAGAAGGGACATGAATTCCTTGGAGGTTACAGATACACCCTACTGATGAGTACCAACCGGCACGAAACCTAGGTTAAGCAAGGCTTCCTCTGGCCGATTGCCTGCAACCATCTAAAGTCTTTCTTAATTAGCCCAGAGAAGACTGAGGCCTGGGGTAGGGAGGAGAGTAACAAAGGTGAATAGGTAGAATATAAGAATTAACTAACTTTAAAAGTAGAGACTGACTGTAGTATTTATATCAGTTAAAAAACGAAATATCATTCTAGAAACTAACACGCTATGGGAAGACCAGAAGAAATAGACAGTTCAAGTCTTTGTCTGTTATTTGTTTTTGTCTTGGTTATTCCACCTTCCTTAAACTTTAATATTTATCTTAATAATTTAACCTTTAATAAACAAAGTGGCGAGTCATCGAAATACCATTTACCAGTCTAAGATTTAATGCATGTATATATAGACATAGTTTTAACATACCTTGTGCTAAAGAAAAACATTTTTACACCCGTGTGCTTTTATTCTTATTCTTGTTGCAAATTTGTCTACAAACTAACTTTTCAGCCTAAAGTGTTTCAGTGTGTGTTTAGACTAATGTCCTCCTCCTCCTCGTAGTAGTAGTGGTAGTGTAACAACAGAAGACAAGCGCCAGGCAACAGATCGTTTATTAAGGAAATCAACACATATTTATAGATTTTCCTGTACATTATTATAGATTATTGTTAGCAGAAAAACACAGTCTTCTGATTGGTTGTGTTTCTCACAGAAAGTTAACCTTGCATCTCTTTGTGACTGTTTCTTGAATGTCAGATCATCTATATGATGTTAACTGTATCCGCTTACGCAAAGCCTTTGTTCTCATTTTTCTCACGACTAATATTGGGGATATAAACACTGATGTAAATTACTGTCCACCAATTTTGGCTAACAGCCAGCTCTCACCACAGAAGTAGTGTAACGACAGAAGACAACGGCCAGGCAGCAGATTGTTTATTGAGAAAATCAAGAGATGTTTATAAATTTTTATGTTTATTATTATTAGCGTTATTGTTAGCGGAGAAGTGACCTCTTCTGATTTGGTTGTTTTCTTGCTGAAGGTTATTTTGTTACCTCTTTATATCCGTTTCTCAGAAAATCAAGTCATATATCTATGAATCATATTATTGTTATTTCCTTTAATTCCTAGAAGAACATAGATCTTCAGCCGCGCGTCTCCACTGCGTTCGGTTTTCTGCCAACTTTTCCACCCCGCTCTAAGTCTGCCCACACGCTTTCATCTCCTGTTCACATGACCTCCTCCGAGTCACGCTCGCACTGACGACCAACTCGCCGCTTCCTATTCAGTAGGGTTCCACTCGAGCCATGGCTTGTCTAGTGATGTCACTTGATGGTTTCCTCAGCGTATGATCAATCCATCTCCATTTCTTCCTGCCTATTTGTTTCACAATCGGTTCCTGGTTGGTTCGCTCCCAGTTACCATTCACTAAATGACAATAGGAATTATTTTGTATTCTGCAAATTTTTGTATTTGTTCGTGATACGCTTTTCTGGTTAGCTATTTATTGTATGATGCGTCGGTGGCACAGCGGTTAGGACGCTCGCCGACTATGCACATGGTCCGGGGCTCGATCCCCTGCCGGCGTACTCCTTCATCTCCCTAAGGCAGAAATAATTCTGATAAAGAGGAAAGGCTAGGCATGAGGCTAGCAACCGCATTCTGTAAAATAAACACTGCTACAGAAACTTGAAGCCCTATGTTCCACTGGGGAACGTGAAGGAGAAAAGAAAAAGAAAAAAGAATTATTGTATGTGTCAGAGGTTATGGTCGTGTGGCATCTTAAGAGGAAAAGAGAAGTCTACTCATTCTGTCCAGTACTCCCAGGTTTTCCTATGGTTCTCTAACCAATGTCAGTTCTTAATGAAATCCTGTAACCAATCAACCAAATCCCTACAAACCAATACTTCAATATCAATGAGATGCTCACTGGGGACTAGCCCTATTCAGGTAGGTAGTAGTTACATGGGGTTCTGGTGAGAAGTCGTGGCCAGTAGAATGCAACAGGTCGGGTGTGAAGACAAATATTCGCCGAAAACATTGGCTAGCGGTTGCGCTACGTCGTGAATTAGCAGAAGTTAGAATCCAAGGACCATGGTATTGAGTCCCAGTGGATCAATAGTCTACGAGCTGACCTTGTAACCAGAAGGTCCTGGGTTCAAACCCCTGTGGTGGGTGCGTGCTGATGAAGAGCCCCAAACTAGGACGAAACAGCTGTCCAGTACTCCCAGGTTTTCCAGTGGTTCTCTAACTGATGTCAGCTCATGGTGAAATCCTGTAACCAATCACCCAAATCCCTACAAACCAATACTTGACTACTCATTCTTAGTTGTACGGGTTAGTTGTGGGGAAGGGGGTACGATTCCAACTCTTTTGAGCTCACAACCTGATATCTATGGTCGGCCTGCGAAATTGGGGCTACCGATATCCATGCTGAAAATTCCATACTTGTACCAAAAATACGATGTGGAATCAAGCTGTAATCAAAAAAAAAAAAAAAATTAACAACTTGTAGGATCAGGAATAAATATTAATTACTACTCAATAAAATTCTCTATAGTTGTTGTTGTTGTGAGTTAAAGTTTCTTTTTTTTCCTGTACTGTTTCATTTCCAGATGTATCATATGCATGTGTGAATATGAAGAAGGCGAAGAACTTCGCTATCTGCCCTGTCTACACACGTATCATCGTATTTGTATTGATGATTGGCTGATGCGAGCATTAACATGTCCTTCGTGTTTAGAAGAAATTCGACCTAATTCTCCAGCAAGAGCTCGTTCTAATAATGGAACTCAAACGGAGAATTTTTTCAATGGTACATCAGAGACACCTGCTGCTGTTAACCACCAGGCAACTGAAACTTCATGTCCTCCTCCTCCTCCTCCTCCTCCTCCTCCACAACAACAACAACAACCGCCACAACAGCAAGATAGTCAACCGACTAATGAATTAAGAAGACCTAGTGTTACTGAATTTCGTACTAGAAATGTACACTCAAATTCATCCAGTCAATCACAAACTACTACTATTCAACGTTTAATTTTAGGAAAATTAAAAAGTCATAATAATAGTAGTGGTGGTGATGTTACAGATATTCTTAACAATTCACCCACCGGTGTTGTACATCCTCTTCCGCGTCATCGTAATCATCAACAGTATCAACATCATCGACGTACACGATCAATTGGTCCTAGTAGACGATCACCTTCTGTAAATGCTTCCAGTGCAACTTTGCCTTATACTTATCGTCGTGGAAATAGTGTCACAGCGATTGATACTATTCAACCTGTACAGTTAAGTGATGATAATTTATCATTATCACCTAATCCAAATGATTTTCCCAGTCCAACGAATATAAGACACAGACAATTGAATGGGGATTCGAATGAGGTTAGTTATTTTCCATACCAATACGCTTTGCATGTCAAACGCATGTTAGTGTTAACTCTGGAACTCAAAAAATGGAACTACTTAAAGTTTGGTCACGGATTGATATCATTTAAAGAACCATTGAAAACTCACAGGGACTACTAGACAGCCAGCTGCTTCGTCCTCGTTAGGGGCTCATCGGCAGTACGGATCCACCAGCAGGGTCCGAACCCAGAACCTACTGGTTTACAACGCAAGCTAGTTCGTAAACCATTCAGACACTGGAACCCGGTTCAATGGCCAGTCCATGAATTCTAACTTCTACCAATTCGTGATATATTCAGCGTAACCGGTAGCCACTGTCACAGGCAATGAATATCAGTTAGAGAACCATTGAAAACCAGGGAGTGACTACAAATATTCGCCGGTAAGTATTGACTTGTGCTGGCGCTAAAATCACGAATTGATGCTAATTAAAATTCACAAACCATTTGGCTGGATCCCAGTGACTGAGTGGTTTGGTAGGTTGACTTGTAACCGGTAGATCGTGGGTTCAAACTGTGTCAGTGGGTGCGTACTGACGTTGACTGTGAGAATGGCTGTGCAGTACTCCCAAGTTTTCCAATCTTTCTCTAATAGATGTAAGTTCATGATGAAGTCCTGTAACTAAAAATGAACAACTTGGTTAGTATCATCGAAATGTATACAGACGTTGTTTACGGAGTATTCTGAGTGGATATTTTTGCACAGAATCTACTGTGACTTTATCAGATATAAACTAATGTGACAAGCCTTGTCTGCATAAGAGTTTAGAGAAGTCTGTCTGTCTCTCTGGATTCAACACAGAACTTGCCACCGAAGTGTAGCACTTCTAGTTGCCACGTTCCAAATAGCACACAAAAGTCAATAAGAAGATGCGTGGAGAGAATCAATGGAGTATACAATTGGTGGATGGTGGCTAGCAGTGGAAACCATGATGCGCATTTCGTCCTATTTGGGACTCGTCACCTGGATGTACCTGCATTTCTCAGTGAGTGATGATGCTCCCACCGAGGGTCGAACCCAGTACCCATAGTTTCAAGTATAAGAGTGAAACAGAATGGGTAATGGTAGAAAGAAATATGAAAGATTACAGAGACTGAATACATCTGCGCTGGCCATTGACAACGATCACTTTGAGCCATGTCACCTATTGTCTCCAGCCATTGATTCCTAGAGTCAGTCCCGAGGGCCCCAACCCGGACGGAAGTCTGCATCTCCCTACCTGACCGACTCAGTTTAGTTGTCAAGGATTTATTTCATGGATTGATGAGGCCATGTTTTTGTTTGGTCACCACTTACTCTTTTCCAACCTGCACCTATATCAGCTAGTAATGCCCGTCGGGGGAGGCAATGGTTAGGCCTGCGCACTACGTCACCTAGCCATCTCAATCTATGTAACTTTATAGCCTCGTCGATTGATTTTCCCTCTTTCCCCAACACTCTACGCCGAACGTCAACATTACTTACCTTATTATACCACTACCTGACGTGAGACAGAGATCACAGACATCTATGATCGAAAGCAGTCAACCTTTTCATGTCTTCAACTCGTATTGGCCATATTTCAGAGCCATAGAGAAGGACGGAGCTAACTTCTGAGCAGTACACACGTCCCTTGGTTGATAACCGGATGTTACGCCTACTCCAGAGATGGCGTAAGTCAGCAAAAGCAGCTCGATCTTTTTGGATCCATGGTGAGATTTCGCCGCCAATCATTTCGTTGGTGCTGATACAACTTCTCAAATAGGTGAAGTGATCAACACAGTTTAGAGAAGTGGATTGGTCTAATGTGGTTAGAGGCGGTTTTGGAGGTTGGGTATATGTAGAGACTACGGATCACCATAGAGAAAGTTGGAATGTACGGTTTTATTAAGGTGGATGTTTTCTTACTACACTCCTCGAGAGCATGTAGGCAACATCACCGGCTTACAGGTCTAATGTGATGCTGAATCGATAAAGATTATCTGTTATCTGTGTCTTTAAGCTTATTTTCAACATTCAATTTGATTATTAGACCTCAGTTGCTATCGGTATCTTGAAAATTTGCTGATTTTTTAGAAATTTATTTAACTTCAAGACTGATTTAAATAAATAGCACTAAGTTGACATGACTCACTGACTAGATTCAGTGAAGTGCAGGAATTCAATTTGCCACATTCTACGTAGAACATTAACCAAGAGAAGATAGTAAACGGACATTCAAAAGAGTGATAATAAACAGAAGTGTGAATAAGGAAAAAAGAATTATTATTATTATTTCCTTTAATTCCTAGAAGAACATAGGTCTTCAGCCGCGCGTCTCCACTGCGTTCGGTTTTCTGCCAACTTTTCCACCCCGCTCTAAGTCTGCCCACACGCTTTCATCTCCTGTTCACATGACCTCCTCCGAGTCACGCTCGCACTGACGACCAACTCGCCGCTTCCTATTCAGTAGGGTTCCATTCGAGCCATGGCCTGTCTAGTGATGTCACTTGATGGTTTCCTCAGCGTATGACCAGCTAATCCATCTCCATTTCTTCCTGCCTATTTGTTTCACAATCGGTTCCTGGTTGGTTCGATCATTACCAGAGATCCCTGTTGGTGTTCTTTTCTGGTCGGCCATCTGATCTTGAGTATTGAGCGAAGACAACTGTTAATGAAAAAAGAATAGTAATATGAAAGAACGATAGAGTTTTATTGGACAAGACAGATCACAGAGAGTGAATACATCTGCAACAGTTATTGAGAAGGATTTCGAGCTATATTACTAATGCTCACCAGTCTTTATTGATTCCCACCATCATGAGGACACCAACCAGTTAGTCAGGAAGTCTACACCTCCCTACATGCCTGACTAGCTTAGACGAACTGTTGTGGATTTCATTGACTGATGAAGACATGTTTTGGTTTGACCACCACTAGCTCTTCTCCAACCTGACCCATCCTGTGTCAGCTGGGATTGTCTTTCTAAGAATGCAGTCGATGTCTGGGCATGCGTAGCACATGTCATAACCATCTTAATCTGTGTAACTTTACAACACTGTCGATTAATTTTCCCTCCTGATCTAACAATCGGCGCCTAACCCCAATATTACTCACCGTACTATTAGTTTTACTCTTTTCATGTCTCCCACTCTCAATGGCCGTATCTCACATACAGTCATAAAGGAGAACGGATTGAGCTGTTCAGTCAGTGGGATATCACGTTTACTAAGACAGCGATGGCGTAAGTCGGTAAATGCCACATAGGTGCTTTCCATATTCGTGATGAGGTCTCGATGGTAACCAATCCTCTGGGGCTGATGCAACTCCCCAAATAAGTGAAGGTGTCAGCATGCTCCACTACTTCACTTCCACCTTATCTAAGAGTCGGTGTAATTCAGTCCTGTATCATCACCTTACGTTTGACGGGAGCGAATCACGCGTCAAACATTTGGAGATCGCTGCTCCTCAATGTGTTCAAAGAGAGACTCTGTATATTGTCAGAGTCTTCACCTAGCAGGACTATATCATCCGCATATAATAAATGGACATGTTCAAAATTTTTTTGTAATCTGTTCATCGTAATGCCTTTTTAAAATTACTAAATGATAGTATCCATCATGTCCCAATCTCATCAAAGAATTTTGAGGTTGCTTCCACAGGTGATGTCTAGCAATGACGTTTGGGACGTGAGCTTCATCCTCTTCTGGGATTCTTCAGGCAAATGTATGTGCTATCCGACAGATTATTAGTTTTCCCATCAAGGCGAGAATCTAGGGTGAAATGGCCTACTCTGTCAACTACCATTAATAATCTCTTGGGACATCGTTGAAGCTTGCGTACTAGTAGCCGAAATGACAATAGAATTGGAGTGTTTTGACCCAATACAGTCAGACAACGGCTAGTTAAAAAAAATTCAAGAAATGTTTAGGCAGTTTTCTAACACACCACTAGTGAAATTTCGTTAACTTTACTGAGAAGTAACAATTCTCTTTGCCATTCCTTCGCACGTCCCTAATGGAAGCCTGAGCTGCTTTGAAGTTTTTAGTGGCAGTGGTAGTCATTCTACAGAGTGTAGCTACTAACCTCAACCCAAGCCTTCTCCTAATTATCTAGCCCACAACCGACTAAGGGAAAGGTAGATTTATGTCTCGGACGTACAGATAGATTGATGCAAATGGTTGAATGAAAGCGGCCACCTGTCTTTCCGAGTCTTTGTTTTGAAGTCAGATCCACAAGGCAACCAATGCATGCATTGGAATCAGGGTTTTCCAGATTTGCTAAGCCAACTCGAATGTCCACTAGTCCCAGTATTGACAAGGTGTTCCACATCTTTAACGACAGTATTCATATGCAGAGTGACTGTTGAATTCTTGTATGTTCGGTCTCTCTATTTATCTTCAACTTCGCCATGGATGACATTCTGGAGTCATCTGTGAAAGACGTGCGTGTTGGTGGTGTAGACTTGCTTCCTAGAAGAAGACTTTTTGACCTCGAGAATGCAGGTGTTATGGTCTTATTGTGCGACAGCATGCAAACTACCTAAATAGCGCTTAATCGGTTGGGGATCAGTGTCTGTAAGTATAGTATGTGCTTTTCGCTATGTGACTGCAAGGTGCTGTTACAAGATTGGCAGTAGTGTGCACCTGCACTAACTCTAATAGGTGGACCGCTTGAAGTTATCCATAAGTTCGTGTATCTGAGTAGTTTTGTGAGTGTTGGTGGAGGTCTGACGGACGTGATTTCCAACTGTATCATGACCTCTAGGGTGGCGTACGTCAAATGACATGGGGCTTGGCGAATTACTGTATGTTGTGTAGATGTTTGACTTTCTTAGAATTTAACCGCCAAGGTCGGGTTTACAGTGAATCAGTGCGCTCTGTCCTGTTCTACTCCTTCGAAAACTGGTTATAGGAATATTCTTGTACTCCGAACCAGTTGCATATTTGGCGAGTATTCTACCGTTGAACCGCCGACGCCAACACTAACAATGTCAAACCTTCATTGAAATCCTTAGGAGAGTGATACAGAGTAAGAGTAATATGACACCGATGTGTGTAAAACATATATGCTGCTTAATTGGTTATAGAACACACAGAATCACATAACTCCATCCATTCATCTGTGTGTGCATGTAGTTGTTTGTGAAAATTCAACTTGTTTTTGTTAAACTTCGAAAATCGATTTCTTCAATGAAATGTTGAGGTGAATAGTTCATGAACTTTGTTAAAGAACAATTTTTAAAAAAACGACAAGCATTTCATGGTCATTGATCCAGGGTATGGTAGTCCTATCTTACTCAGTTTTTTTCTTATATGACGCAGTATGTTTTTGTTCTACATATTGTTCGACTCTGATCTTGACAATACAGCGGCCTGCTTAATTAAAACCTTGGCCACCAAATGCTTGCATCACTATATGTTGCATTTAATTCCTCTTATCCAGTTAGTTTACATTTAATGAAACATGACCACTAATAGTATTATTTACTCTGGCGAGCATTTAAAACATTGATAAGCGCCTGATTCACATGTTTTTACTAAACATGAGAAGTTAAGCATCATCGTCGTTGGCGACGTATGAGATGATCGTTCATCAGTGGTGGTGTTACAACAGAAGACAAGGGCCAGGCAACAATTCATTTATTAAGGAAATCAACACGTATTTATATATTTTGATGTACATTATTGAAGCTTATTCAAGCAAACAAACACAGTCTTCTGATTGGCTGTTTCTTACAGAAAGTTGATCTTGTGTCTCTTTGTGACTGCTTCTTGAATGTCAGATCATCGATATGTTAACTGTATCCGCCTACGCAAAGTCTGCTGTGGTTGGTTGTTGAATCAGTCTTTCAAGTGTTGGTTTGTAGGGATTTGATTGGTTTCAGGATTTCATCATGAGCTGACATTAGTTAGAGAACCATTGGAAAACCTGCCACGGAGTACTGGACAGTTGTTTCGTCCTAGTTTGGGACTCTTCATCAGCACGCACCCACCGGGATTAGAACCCAGGACCTTCCGGTTACAAGGCGAGCTCGTGATGAAATCCTGAGACCAATCAAATCCCTACAAACCAACACTTGAATACCAATGAGATGCTCACTGGCGACTGGCTCTATTCAGGTAGGTAGATACCTGGGTTCCAGGGGGAAGTCGTGACCAGTAGGGTGCAGCTGGTCGGGTGTGAGGACAAATACTCGCCGAAGACATTGGCTAGCGGTCGCGCTATGTCGTGAATTGGCAGAAGTTAGAATTCATTGACTGGCCATTGGATCGAGTCCCAGTGGCCTAATGGCATACGAGCTCGCCTTGTAACCGGAAGGTCCTGGGTTCTAATCCCGGTGAGTGCGTACTGCTGAAGAGTCCCAAACTAGGGCGAAACAGCTGTCCAGTACTCCGTGGCAGGTTTTCCAATGGTTCTCTAACTAATGTCGGCTCATGATTAAATCCTGGAATCAGTCTTTGTTCATATTTTCTGACGACCAATATTGGGGATGTAGACATTGACGTGAATTAATGTCTACCAATTGGCTAGCAGCCTGCTTTCACCACAGTGGTGTCTCTCGTTCACAAAATATCCTCCTGAACTCTTCATTATAATTGATATTCAAAAAAAATGTGATGTATATATCTGTCGAGGGAGGCTTAAAGGAGATATCATCATACAGTGGATTGTTTTTGGATTCACCCAGCTAGCATTTTTTCGGGTGTACTGTGGAATTTTCGAGGCAGAAATCTTCAAGCGTACTGCAGAACTCGTGGAACAATGACCCGAAGTCTGCCCCAAACATTCTGCAGTGCACTCAAAGTCAATGCTGACTAGCATAGATAACATAGATAGATAGTACCTGTTGTCCATCAAATCTTTTATGATTAGAAGATCCTGAACGCAGAGAAAATATTCGTGCAGTAAACTGCGTTCAAAATTCTGTACATTATATAAACATTAACAGTAACATCCAGCGCCAATCACCATCAACGGGAGGGATTTGAAAGAGGTCACTTCATTCACTCACTTATCTAGGGAGCATTGTCTCAAATACAGGAAGTCGGAACGGACGACGATGTCAAATCAAGTGAGAATCAGGAAGGCGAGAAACACATTCATTAACCTGAAATCAATCTGGAAATCTTCGTCACTCAGCCAGCATCAACAACAAAATTCAGTCGGATTTTCAATACAAACAACATCAAGTCAGTCAGCTCTTTTATACGGATCAGAAACTTGGCGAGCGGGCGGGTCACAAAGAATATTTCCAACAGCCTGTTGCAGGCCTTTATCAACCAACAACTGTATTCGCTGGCTCTATACTGAAGATCAGATGGCCGGGCCGGTAAGAATCACCAACAAGGAACTATGGGGAGAAACAAAACAGGAACCAATCGCCAGCCAACAAATATGCCGGAGAAATTGGAGATGGATGGATCGGACACTCGCTGAAGAGGCCACCGCTGGGTGACATCGCGCGCCCGTCAGTCCATTGCTCGAGTGGAACCTTAAAGGGAAGTAAGCGGCGAGTGGGACGTCAGTGCAAGGGTGACATGGAGGAGATCGTGTGAAGAGGAGTTGAAAGAGTATGGACTAACATGGATGCAGGTGAAAAGAACAGTAGAAGACAGAAGTGGCTAATGGAGACGTGCAGTTGAAGCCCTATGTTCCACTAGGAACCCAAGGGAGCAATAATAATAATAATGATATAAACATTGTTTAGATTAAAGTTAGTACTCATTACTGTTGTACCATACATCGTTTTATTTATTTATTTTTTGTTTTATTTTCTTTCATAGGCTCAACCACGTTGAATGTTTGCTTGTTTTTGTCTATATCACTCACTATGTCTGACAAATCGTGTTTTTGATTCAATTAAAACTACATCGAGAACGCCTAGTCTTATCAGTCTTATCACTCCTGCTTGTACAGATCATAAAGAAATAATGATAATAATAATAATATTTATAATATTATCTTCTCATGGTGATAACTAACCCAAATTCCACATAGTGTTCATCTCAGCAACAACAACCACAACAACGATGGCCAATGATAACAATCACATAAATCACTCACTGTGATGCACCAGCAGTTGTTGAAAGCTTGTTGGTCAGCCAAACTTCTTGTCGTGTACTGCTTACTGTTTAGTTATATATTTCTCAATGTATCAATTGATCGCAATATTTTTGTGAACAACAAAACAGTCTTGCCTTGTGTGTTTTTCAACTTCATCCTAATTTCTTATCTCATTACTACAGGGTCTTCATTGTTAATTGAAGAATAAGAAGAAGGAGAATTGAGATTCTCCGAAGATGTGTGTTTTTAGTTCTACACTGAGTTGGCCTAGTCTGAAATTGATATTTGCGAAAATGTGTTTTCGTGTGTGTGTGTAGTGTTTTTTTGTTTGAATTGAGTGTATTTTCAAAAATATACGCTACACGACAGTACACTCAACTGTGTTCATCCTTTTTTGTTTTACCGGTGCGTCTTTATTGTAGGCGTTCGTTCGCTTGTCTCTCTGTTTCATGAGAAGAGTTTTATCCTGCGTATTTTATTTTGTAACAGCATCACATACACACGCACATCATTTGAATTAATCAACTCTAGTCTATATTATTTTGTGTATTTTGTTTGTTTTAACCTAACCAAATCAAAAACCAAAGCTTCTGTTTGTGACTATCACTCAGTGTGTAGATAGTTCTTTTGTTTTTTTTTGTCACTTTCGCTTGACTGTTCTTTTCTCTTTTTCTTATTGTACACAAATTAACTAGTACAGAATTTCTGGTTGTGTAGCTTTAGGTAAATGTGTGTGTGTTCTCCCTTTGTCCTACTACTAATATTAATTTAGTAGTATATGATATACACTGCATATATATAAGTAGTTACTTCATTCTCAGTGTAGTAGTATATTGCAGTGTAGTGTGTAATGTGTTGTCCCAGCCTTTCTTTGCATTACTTAGATGAACTACTTTTCATTGAAGGCAGTGTGTGTGTGTGTACACTCACGAAGAGGTTCTTGTTGTTGTTGTTGTTGTTGTGTTCCCTGTCTGCTTGGTGGATAGATAATTTCAAATGTCAGAAACAAGTACTTGTGTTGTGTATAGTATCTATTCCACAGTGTACAATAAATAAATAAATATTGTTGGAAACCAAAGCTAATTTAATTGTCATTTTTACTATTTCTCTTTTATTTTCTTAATTTTGTATGTTATTAGGTTATTGCTTTGTTGTGTTTCTTTTTCTTGTATATCTAGCCTCGCCTAGCCTAACCCCCTAGCTCTAGCTAGCCTAGCCCTTATGCACTTTCGCATATCTTCTTGATGTGTGTTTATACTTCAACAAGAAGATGACGTGTGATGATTGTAATTTATTTGTCAACGAATTTTAGCTCATTTTTATTTATTTATTTATCTTTTATTTCGTTTTGATTTTATTCTTGTGTTCAATTCAATGTTTTCAATTGTCTTGTTTATATACTATACTTCTCTTTTTGGTTGATTTATTTGAATCTCACATCACGCGCGCGCACACACACAACGCGAACGATATGTGCAGAAAAAATTTCATACTCTCTTTTCAGGCTTCTTTGACCTTTGATAGTGAAGTGGTTTTTTTCTGCGTATATGTTGCTGGTGATCATCGTGGTGGTGGTGGTGAATGGAACTGGCTTTTTTGTGTATACCCATAATGTTGTATGATGTCATCTATTGTGGAATTATGCCCCGGTCCCCTTCCAAAAACAAACAGTAAATAAAATAAATAGAAATAAACGCTTTCTTTCTTGTGCTTTCTGTAAAATCCTACTTTAGTTTTGCCTTCATTATTTCATTTTTAATGTGTGTGTTCTTTTTTGTTTGGTTTAAATTTATTTGACTTTCTAAAGAAAGAAAAAAACGTGATGAACAGGTTTTGATTTTGGCGCAGTAATTATTCAATGTTCAAGTTGTATTATGATATTTTATTTGTTAATGAAATATAAAAAATAAAGAAAAGGATATGATTCGTTTGGGAGCATTATATCTGTTTTATTATTATTATTGTTCCTTTAGGAAGACCTTGAGCTGCAATCTTCGGATATTTGGTGTGAGATTCGCTCCCCGTGGCAAATGTAAGATGATGTTACAGGACTGGACTACATTGACTTATAGCTTAGAAATAGGGAGTGAAGTGGTAGAGCACGTTGACCGCTTCACTTACTTGGGAAGTACCAACGCCAACAGGTTGATCGTTGACAAAATCTCAGCACATATACGGAAGGCCCGGCTTGCATATGCCTGCCAACTTACGACAATACTGGCACAGACTTGATGTCCGGTCGGCTATCGATCAAAGGACGTATGCATTGCTTAGCAGTCCTCTCCGTCCTCCTCTATGGGTGTGAAATCTGGCCAGTGGGAGTCGAAGACATGAAAGACTAGCTATTTTTGATCATAGGTGCCTGTGTTCTATCTCCCGTGTTAGCTGGCGTGGTATAATAGGCTGAGCAATATTGAGGTTAGGCGTCGGTCGAGTGCTAGGTAGGCGGGAGGGGGAATCAATCGACGAGGCTATGAATTAACATTGACTGAGGTGGTTAGGACATGTGTTACGCATGCTTAGGCATCGCCTTCCTAGACAATCAATGTTAGCTGAAATAGGATGAATCATGTTGGAAAAGTGAAACCACTACATGGCTTCATTAGTCAGTTAAATCCACAACAGCTAGTGTAAGCCAGCCACGTAGGAAGATGTAGACTTGTAGGGGACTAATATTAGGGTTCACTAACATTACAAATATAGAAATAATAATCCAAGTCAATGGAGTGTTAAATCACAATATATTACCAAAAATGCAGTGACGAGTTATATCAACAAGAGGGATTACTTGGATATAAAGCCTAAGTCCTCTGCTACAAATTATTTATATGATCCTCGGGTACGTTAATTGTTTGGACTGCGTCTGCTGTGTTCCGGTTGTAGAAATGTCTTCGGTTGAGAGTAGTAGACTCCTACAATAAATCCGAAGTATACAACACGGTGTGGGTCGAGGAAGTAAGCAGAAATAACCAGGGAGAAGACTAAGTCTCCAACAGCAGAGTCTATTTTCAATTGTACACGGAAGTTATGTATATTTCAACAAGAAGCGTTTTAAACAAAAATTATGTACAATATCTCGAATATATACAAATAACCAAAAAGTGTACAATCACATTGTTACGTACTCCACAGACTTCCTGGTTGTTGTCCTCTGGACGGTAAACAGCACTAGAGACCGCCTGAGGAGTGCCAACTAGCACGAAACCTAGGTCCAAAGCTTCCTGCCGATTACCTCCAACCATCTAATACTTTGTTCTATTTTCTAAAAGTCCTCTTTAACTGGCCCCACGATTACGCATAATTTCTGGTCTTCTCCATGTCACCTTCGAACGCCTCACTTTTGTCATTTCCCATTTGGGTTCTATTCGAACGATAGCGTGGCGCGAGATGTCATTCTACAGTTTCCTCAGCGCATTCACAATCCATTTCTACTTTCTTGTACGTGTGTGTATGTTTTCATTTTATTTTTATTGGTTTAATTCTTTTAAGCTCCCACTATACCATAAGGCTTTAAGCTCGAGCTGTAAAGTTTCAGTAGCAGTTATTTGATTTTTACGGATTGGGGTTGCTGATCTCACTTCCAAACTTCCCACTTTGCCACTGGGCTTACTCACGGGCATAGGAATGTATAGGAATATGTTGGCCAGGAATTGGTTCCTACAACATGTGGGTGGTTTGCAAGCATTCCACCGACGCGATGTATGTGTTGAACCTAGAAATTATTAGTCTTTTTTGAAGTAACTTACTCCATGCAATTATAAGCTAGTGGTAAAATTGTTGGTACTCGGTAAACAATTAACTGGATATTCATGATAGAACTTTTTGGTATAGACCAAGTATTACTTGGATGGATATGGGATTGATTTGGAAAGGAAAGAGAGAATCTGTTCCTGTATTATGAGTATCAAAAGGTTGTGTAGATCGGTTGAAATTTGTTGCAGATTCGTTAGTATGAAGGAATCTAAACCGATGATTGCACTACTTCTCTTTTGTCATCAACCTAGACCTATTATACACATAGATGAATTGAAAGGATATAACTAATGTATCATCCCTGGGATCCACCTTAGTTGTACTGAAGAATTTTGGAGGAGATTGAAGAAACAGGATTGGAGTCATTAGTGAATCTCAGAAGGAGGTTATTAACTGTCATTTACATGTATAGAGTAGGATTGAACATCTCTATTGATACTCCTGTGGTAAACTCGAATTCATTCTTGTTACACGTAAGAGAAGGGTATGATCTGTAATATTTATAATAATGATAATGATTACAGTAGCTTTATTCTGAACGTACAGAATTTTCTGCGGAATTTACTGCATGATATTTCCTCTTCGTCCATAATCTTCAAATAATTGAAAATTTGATTGACAGCAGATCGTGTGACACTTTTATCTATCTATGTTATCTGAAGCGAAAACCAATCCACTATGTGATGATGCCTCTGTTTTGACTCCCTCGAGAAATATATACACGACATTGTGTTGAATGGTGATTATAATGAAGAGTTCAGGAGGACATTTTGGGTGAGGATATACGTTATGACGTGTTATATTTTCCGCGACTCAGATTTTTTCGTCCTTCATTGGCTAGAACGGTGGCGGTCAATTGGATATTTGGTTTGTCCTTGGTACGTCGTATCATGTGAGGTTTCGAGTGGTTGTGTCATGCGTCGTTTGCAAGCAACTTTGACAAACATAGATGTAATATTTGACTATTTTAACATTGTTTCAC